CGATAGGGGCGTTTGTGTGTGTGTGTCCCTTAGTGGTCCTCTCCTGGGTAACAGCCAGGGCTTTGCCGCTGCCTCTTTTCCTCAGAGGGGGGGGTCTGCCTCCCTTCACATGCTGTGCACATGTGCAGCAGCCCTGGGACATCCACCTGCTCTCCTGCAGCACCGCTGCTGCCACCGCCCCTTTTAGCTCCAGCGCAGTGCTCCGTCTCCCCGAAGGGCCGCCTGCCCACCCACTGGCCAGGATGGAAGGCAGGCAAGCAGGGCAGGGCCACGGGGAAGGGAGCTAGCTAGCCAGGCAGCCCTGACATGCTTGCCTGCCTTCCTGGCAGTCCCCATGGCCAGGCCCGTTTGCCTGCCTTCCTCTCCACCACCACCTCTTTGTTCGGCTGCTTACCTTCCGCGACGACTGGTCCAGAATCGGTAAGGCAAGCTGACCCGAGTTTTCTGTGGCCCCCAGCCAGCCGCTGCTGCTGGAAAGCGGCTGGCCAGGAAGCCTCCAAAAAGGCTTCTTTGCCAGCCGCTTTCTCCTCAGGCTGCCAAAAAGTACTGGTGGGAAAAGCTGCTGCCGTCATCGCCATGTTCTATGTTCATGCGCATCCCATTGGACTTACAAGCAATGGGATGTGCATGCGCGAAGAACATGGCGGCGACGAACATGGCAGCCAGGGCGAGTGGGCAGCAACCGGGGGACCAGTTGGGGGCGTGGCCAGCCAGCCATTACTACCGGTTCTGCAAGCAATGACAGATTTTTACTATCGGTTCTCCTGAACCGGTGCGAACCAGGAGCAACCCATCACTGGTGCATACCCCCATTTGCGCTAGCATCACTGCGAGCACCACACAGGTGCTACCACTATCACGAGCATTGCGCTTGCGGCCCCGTTCACATGGTTGCATGCACGAGTAAAGGCACCTGTTCCACCAATCCAGAAAGGTTGGGGAACTCTAGTCTAGAATAATTAGCCACGGGCACATGGCTGGGTCTACTTCATCATGGGGCCTCTGCAGTAGCCGACCCACCACTGGTGTTCATCCTTGGCTGACTCTCCACCCGTGCTCCTCCCTGCACCCTCGTCCTCGGCAGTTTGCCAAAGGAAACTTGTCCCCAACCAATTCACAGTGCAGGACAATCCTGACCTGTGATGCAATTATTCTCCTGGTCAATATGTTTTCTTTGATTTTATTAGGACAATGTTTCTTTTTTTTTAATGTTTCTGATGAATTTCAATATCAGGCAGGTCCTCCACTTCCGCCTTCTCTTTTCTTCCCCTCTCCCATTTCCCTCCTTCCCAAACAAGGTCATCTCTTTTTTAAAAACAAAGACTAGTAGTTTCTCATACAATTTCTAACTAAGTTATAAATCTTTTCTCTATAATAAAAAGTGTTTAAAGGGTTCGTTACAGCTTTATTATTTTCAAGTGTTCAGATCATACATCATCATGATAATTTTGGGATTGCAATTTGGGATTGCATTGGCTTTGTATACTTCTTTTTCTAATTACTTTCATAAATTGCTTCTCAACTGTTTTCCAGCTACTAGAAACCTTCAGATTGACAAGCCTGAAAACACTGCTTGAGTTTCTTTCAAACCTTAGTGAACAAAGTTTTAAATACAAATTTAAGGATTTTTAATTTTTTATAAAAAAATACAAATGAGTGATACAACTTTGATTTTAGAAAGATACAAATGAACTAAGGGTCTAGAAGGATTTGAAATAAGATTTTGGAATTAATTATAAGAACCCCTCCTGTGGGAAAGTGCCTTTGCTTTGAATTCTTTAAAAAAAAGATACGATGGGGCACTAGAGAGAACTAGAAGGAACTAAAGATTATAATTAAAGGAGAATACTTAAATTTGACTTACTACTATAGAATGGGCCATAATATTTGAATATTAAAAAAACCCTGAAAGATAGAATGTGTTCAAAAGATGTTATGGAAGAAGAACAAGTTTTACTGGATAAGTCTGAGACTGCTCTGAAAGTGGGAAGCGGATTTAAAAATGACAGCTTATAAAAATGACATGGAAAATATGCTAAACTAGACATACAAGAGAAATCACTTTAAGTCTTAATAGACATCATTAGACAAGAGATACACAAATATCACATACAAGAGAGACACCTGGGTAATTTTCTGAGAAGGAACAACTAAAAATAAATCAAGTTCTAGGATATTATTTGAAGGGATTAAAGATCAAGACAGTTAAAAGTGACTAGGAATATAAAGTTGGTTTATTTGATCAATAGATATATTGTTATTTCTGGTAACCCTTAATGGACTTTTGCTGATCAGGACTGAAATGACAAGGTTTCAAGGATTTGTTTATAGATAAGAGATGGGATATGGAAAGAAGAGATAATTTGCTTCATTTTAAGAGAAGATGGTAGGTTACTAAATTGTTTATATTTATAAGAGGGAAGTCATTTTATATTTTTTTCTTTACTATGTTATTTTTTAGTTTGTATTAATTTTTTATTCTTTAAGTGTAATTTTTTAATAAAATTACAATTAAAAAAGAGAACTATTAAAAAAGTGAATATGCCTTATCTCATTAATATGTTGCTTGCTTTTCAAAACAAGTCTATATTTAGATGAAAATGGTACAAGAGGGGTTTGAAATGAATGCTGGCTGCAAAATATATTTTAAAATTGTCTTCCTTTATGTATCTCTCTTACTCTTAGACCTATCATCTTGAGGAAACAAGAAAAAATATCTTCCATTAAAGTTAATACCCACAACCTCTTTGTTTACTGAACCTAGATAACTTTTTCAAAACTTAAAATACTGGAACACAGATCTCAAGGGGTTTCCAATTTCACTTTATTGATCACGTTCTGTGGCCCTATATTGTTGGAAAAAAATTTTCAAGCAAAACATTGCAATTCCTCTGCTAAATAAAAAGCTTTCTTAATTATTTTTTTTAACTTGGGAGAGCAAAAAAGGAAAAGAAAAAAAGAAAGAAAGAAAAGACCAGTTAAGATTTGATGAATAGATGATACCAGACCTCCCAAGTATAGCCCTTTCTAAGAATGGGTAATAAATTGATTTGTAGTGGACATTAATTTGTTGAGTCTACAATCCAGCCACGGTTACTATAGCAATATCCCCTATATTGATTTCTATAAAAATACATGAAGTGGCATACTCCGGCTAATTATCTTCTTGTTTTTATGCTATCATTGCCATTTCTTTCTGTTTTAAAGCCAATCTTCCAGGCAAAAACAATTTAGTAGGGTGAAAAGGTAAATAAGAGATTAATAACAATTTTCAGTAAAGCTATAGTGGAGGTTCCCAAAGAGAAGAATGCCACTTTTTCTAGGCAAAGTGTATCCTTTGGAACTAAGTTCTGAAATTCTCCAGAATGAATCCCTCCCTCCATCTCACACTTACACACACTGTACATTTATTCAAATGAGATGTGTTAAGTGTGTGTGTGTGTGTGTGTTTTGCATTCAGAACATACACAAAAACATCCTATATACTTGCAGTCTCCCTAACAGAAAGACTGGGGAATTCTATGCCACCTATGTGTGCCTATTTAAAAATATGTCCCATGCAATTCAATGGGATTACATGCAAGCAAGCATACATAACACAGTGACCATTCTGACGATCAGGAGCTGTCTGCAAAGCACCGGCATACACGAAACTTTCTGATGTGTGACCGAAAACTCATTGCAAAAAAATTATTTTAAGGTTGGAATATATCCCATGCATACCCCCCAAGATGGAAAGATGGAGGATTCGTTCTACACATTTTGCCAGCAGGAAATTTCCATTGTGGCCGGTTACTGAATCCATTCCTAAAATGGAATGCCGCCTTGAGTCTTCAGAGAAAGGCGGCATACAAGTTGAACAAATAAATAAATAAAATAAATAAATGGACTGACCAGCAAGCCTTAGTGCGGATTGTCCCAAAGATTCTGTTTTCTTTCAAGAGGCAACTGGACTTTCTGGTTTTTCTTTGAAGACGTTTCACTTCCTATCCAAGAAGCTTCTTCAGCTCTGAGTTGATGATGGGGGGAATGGAATCCAGTCAGAGCTGAAGAAGCTTCTTGAATGAGAAGCGAAACATCTTCAAAGAAAAAAAAAAACAGAAAGTCCAGTTGCCTCTTGGGGAAAAAAAGCACCTTTGGGGGACACTTAACACCGGTTGTCTATGGAGATTCTCAGTCATCCAGGTCACAGTTGTCCCAAAAGTGCTTTTTCAAGTGGCCTCAACAACTCTGCTAAAGGCGGCAAACGAACCAGCTGTTTGCAAGGAATATAAACCCTTCCATTCTCCACCATCCAGTCAGAGCCGAAGAAGCTTCTGGGATGGGAAGCGAAACGTCTTCCAAGAAAAACAACAACAATAAAGTCCAGTTGCCTCTTGAGGGGTTTGGGAAGCACCTTTGGGATTTAACGCGGGCTCTTTTGTTCCAGCGAACTACCCCGGGTCCTTTAAGCCACGGCGGTCCCGACTTCGCTCCTTGCAAAGACCCGCCACGGAAGGTCGGCTGGATGCAGGTCATCCATTGCCGTCCGGCAGCTAAAAAAGGCCGAGGGGACTCAGCCCACCAGGAACCCTCGGATGTGAGCGCAGCGAAGTTTGGGGAGGTGGGGGGGGAAGAGGCTTTCTTCCCAAAACGTGGAAGGGACGCGCTTCCCCGAGTCCACCCGGGCAGAGAAGCAGGTTCCCGGGAAAGATCGCAGCAGAGATCGCGGGCGGCAGCAGCGCGTCCGGGGCAGGCAAAGAGGAGCGGTGGCGCCTGGAAAAAGTGGCGTGGAAGGGCCGGACCCCTCCCTCCCTGCCCGCCACGAGAGATTTCCCACCCACCCACTCCTCTCCCCGCTTTTGCGGCGTGGCTCCTTTTGTCCTGAGCGGTGCTCTGGCGGAGGGAGCCGCGGAAGAGCCTCCCCGCCGCATGCAGCTTCCTTTAACGCGGGGATCCTGGATCCGCCAGCCCTCTGCTCGTCCCGCCAGAACCCCGCCTCGCCCCCAGACGGGCTTTACCTGCAGCTGGAAAAGGAGCCCGAGCGGCATCGCCCACCCGCGCGGGGAACTCTGCCCTCTCTCCGCAGACGGAGCTGGGGATGGGCGGGCCGGGCACCGGTCGACCGAAGAAGGAGGAGCCACTCCGGCCTCTTCGCTCCCGGAAGGCAGGAGCCTGGCGGATTGGCTCGCCCCCCTTCCCCGCCCTTCCAAAGGACCGGCCCCGGCTCATTGACGGGCGGGGTGACGTCTGCGGGGCGGAGAAGTAGGGCGGGGAAGAGGCCGGACGAGTGTGTGTGGGGAGGGGAAGGGTCGAGACTCGAGTCGCGTGGATTTTTTTTTGGGTGGAGGGTGGGTTGTGCAACCGCGTGATCGTGGAGGATTTAGCTAGGAATTGGAAATGCAGCGCGATCCTAAATGGATGCGGGTCCCCCGTGAGCTGGGTGGAATTATTCTTCTGTAGAAAAGCCTGCTAGGTTCTTTAGGAATAATCCCAGGCAGGCCTTGGGGGCCACAGATTTACTTAACTGCTACTTCAGGTAGTCCTCCTTTTAGGACCACAATGGAGCCCCAGATTTATGTTGCTAAGTGATAAATTTAAGGGAGCTTTGCCCCCATTTTACGGCCTTCCTTGCTGCAGTTGTTAAAGGAATCGCTGCAGTTGTTAAGTGAGTAACACTGTTGTTAAGTGAATCTGGCTTCCCCGTTGACATGGCTTTTTCAGAAGGTTGCAAAACGGAATCACGGGACACCCCCCCACACACACACACCCCCACACTGCCACTGTCATCGTTATGAGTCAGTTGTCAAGCGTCTGAATTTTGATCCACATGACTATGGGGATGCTGAAGTGGTTATAAGTGTGAAAAACTGTCATAAGTCACTTTTTCCAGTGCCGTTGTAAATTCAAACAGCCACTAAATGAACTGTGGTAAGTCAAGGACTACCTGTAACCCATCTTTTACCTTGATTTTTCTTCCGGCAACAATCACACGCTGCTCTCAAGACAGGTAGAAATTCATCCCGTGAGAAGAGTTTTTTCCAAATGAGAGGAGTTATTGCTGTTGTTATTGTTATTATTACTGTATTATGCAATTGCCCTACCACAGGGACAGAAATTTATGAGGGCTCTAAACGGTGAGGTCTTCCTCCTATATTGTACTGTATTTCTGTATTTCTTTTAGAATTTCTGAATTTCTTTTAGAAATATCCAAGGCTGCCCAATCTACAAGGAAAGTAACTGTTTATATGTCAGGGCTAATTTAGACTCTAGGCTTCCAGGGTGGTGATGGGGAAAAATAGGCCCTACTTTGTGAAGAAAACAAAATACATGAAATTGAGCAGTTTTCAACTCTGTAAATGCTGAAAAGTGTCATGTTTTTAAAATGAAATGGAATGGTCTAAGAAGCACCAACAAATTGCTTTGACTGCAATTGGCTGTCCAGTCTGTGCTTCAACATCTTCAGAAATGAAGGCTAATAAATTTGGAAGCACCTCCTGGTCATGTTTACTTAAACTGCTTTTAGTCCTGTTTTACAGAATAGCAGTATTAGATGGCCACCGTTCTACCTTGCCTTAAACCTTTTTTTTTTCAGCTGCTAAAAATGCATGAATTTAACTTTTATAGTTTTACCCCAGGCATTGCTTATGTTCTACGTATCTTATTTATTAGATTTTTATCCTATATCATTTTTATAAGTAACTCAAAGGGGCAAACATCCATAATACTCTTTCTTCCTCTTATTTTCCCCAGGACAACCCTGTGAGGTGGGTTGGACGGGGAGAGAGAGTGACTGGCCCAAGGTAACCCAGACAGCTTTCATGCTTAGTCAGGACTAGAATTCACAGCCTCCTGGTTTCTAAGCCAGCACCTTAACCACTACACCAAATTGGCTCATGTGTGCCCTTTGATTGAGGCAGAATTTGATAATCACCGGTTATATTTGGTTCATCATGATTTGATAATCATGATGAACCAAATGTAAAGAAAACAACAACCCTGCTGCTTTAGAACTCAAATCTTTCTAGTCTAGAATTCAAAGTAGCCTCAGAGAAACTGTACTTCTCAGAAAACTGCAAAGAAGTCAAGGAAACTGGACCTTTTACCTCAGTTGCGCCTGGTATTCTATGACACCACAGGAATAAGTCTGCCCAAACGGTTTACTTCCAAATCAAGCACCATTTAAAAAAAAGACTGCTTGCTTTAATAAAATCACTCATAAATCTTTTATTTATTAATAAATATTATGTATTATTTAGATAACAAGCACACACATTCAGAATACGTCCTGATTGTTCAAAGCCAATTTTGCCTGCTTGCTTTTAGTTGAGATTCCCTACTTAATAGGCCAAGACAAAGATAAACACACCATAAAATCAAAGAAACCTCTGCCCATCCATTTATGCAAGCCGAAAAAATAAAATACCTTAAAAGTTATAAAACCTATTTAAATATATATGAGAAGGCTAAAAAAATAAAATCCTGTTTGAGCCTCTTCAGTTTAATATGAATGATAAAACTATAGAATTATTATAGAATTACCTTAAGCCGCGGTGACGCAGTGGTTAGAGTGCAGTACTTCAGGCTACTTCTGATGATTGCTGGCTGTCTGCAAGTTTGGCAGTTCAAATCTCACCAGGCTCAAGATTAACTCAGCCTTCCATCCTTCCAAAGTAGGTAAAATAACGACCCAAGTTGTTGGGGGGCAATATGCTGACTCTGTAAACCGCTTAGAGAGGGCTGGAAAGCACTGGAAAGCGGTATATAAGTCTAAGTGCTATTGCTATTATGAAGTTTTTCAATGTCTTTTTATAATGATTTTTTAAATGTATTGTGAGCTGCCCTGAGTCTTCAGAGAAGGGCGGCATATAAATTTAATTAAGTTGGATGGGAACATATGCAAGAAAACCAATTAAAACATCCTTGGGAGGTGCCGTCCAGCTTGTTCCTAAAACTCTTAAGACTTAGAAGATCCACAGTCTCCAAAGGCAGCATATTCCACTCTGGTGTACTCTTAACAATCCAAAAGCATTTCATTATACAGGTAGTCCTTGACTTACAACAGTTCATTTAGTGACCATTCAAAGTTACAACGGCACTGAAAAAAATGACTTACGAACATTTTTCACAGTTTTACAACCTTTCCAGCAGCCCCATGACCATGTGATCAAAATTCAGATGCTTGGCAAGTGGTTCATATTTACGACCGTTGCTGTGTCCCAAGGTCATGTGATTCCCCTCTTGCGACCTTTTGACAAATAAAATCAATGGGGAAGCCAGATTCACTTAACAACCATGTTACTAACTTATCCACTGCACTGTGATTCAGCTAACAACTGTGGCAAGAAGGTCATAAAATGACCATTATTTCTGGTCCTAGTTTCCACAGCAATGAAAGTAGTTTTCTGGTCCCTATGGCATCCTTTTATTGTACATGCTTGATCACTTTTCCAAATTTGTAGCTGGAAATGAATAGAATTTTAATCCCAGTTATTTTAGCCTTAATGTGGCTTTTCTTCCTTTCTCAACTTGGAGTGATCTAGAATCGATTACATTCACATCACACAAAACAAGTAGGGCAATGACAGTCTTGCTGTAGTGAAAGTTGTATTCCAGACTATTTTGAGTGGAATATTTGAGTGACCAAAGCTAAGCTAAAGTCTTTGCAGAATATCTGATAAAAATGAATGTACTATCAGGAATTATGCTTTTATTCCAGCCTATACCTATGCTGAAACTATACCTATACTGACAGATAGAGAAATGACTGGACTGATGGGTAGACAAATGGGCAGTTGGATGGACAGATGGGCAGATAGACTGATGGATGGATGGACACATGGACAATGGAAAGATGTACAGATAGATTGATAGACAGATGGATGAGTTGATGGACTGACAGACGGGTCAACAGATGGACAGCCAGTCAGGCAGACAACTGGACAGATGGATGGCTGGGGAGAGAGATGAACTGATGGACAGACCAAGGGACAGACTGACATAGAGACAGATGGTTAAACAAATGGACAGGCGGATGGATGGATAGACAAGAACATGAATAGATGGATAGACAAATGGAGCAATAGATGGACTGATGGATGGTCCCATTTTTTTCCTAATATATTGATTGTCTAAATAAGACCAAAACAGATACAAATTCTAGGCATGGAGCTGTGTCAAGATATTTTTACGCAGAGAGAATAGTTTTCATGAAAGAGTAAGGCATTTACTGACTGAAGCAATGGAGAGACATTTGCATATTCTTAGGATTGGTTCATTAGTTACTAAGCATTAATGATCAGATTATCTCTATCACGACCCATTTTCAACATCATCTTGCAGTTAGAAGTTATGGGAATTTTTTGAATTTACAGCTCTACATTGACAAGGCCTCTACGTATAAGGAGTTCAACTTATTTTCCAAAACACCAGAAGGCAGGACAAGAAACAATGGATGGAAACTAATGAAGGACAGAAGCAAATCTACTAAGAAGAAATTTCCTGGCAGAACAATTAATCACTGGAACAACTTACCTCCAGAAGTTGTGAATGCTCCAGCACTGGAAGTTTTTAAGAAGAGATTGGACAACCATTTGTATAGGGCTTCCTGCCTGAGCAGGGGGTTGGACTAGAAGACCTCCAAGGACCCATTAAATTCTGTTATTCTGTTATAAAAATTTAAAAGCTTGTAGAGGGGGTATGGACAGAAAAAAAAACCTGTGACTGGTCCATAAAGTAATTCTACCTAATTCAGTAGTTTCATAAGAAAGAAACAGATGTGATTTATCTACTGCTTGTATTACATTAGGATAATTAAGGGAATAATTTCTATTATGCTATGTTTACTTTAAAAAAAAAGACTAGATCTAGGACTAGAAAAAAGGCATTCTGAATTGTCCAGATGCTTAAGGAGCCTGAGACTCTGCATTCAGAGTGAAAGCACATTTGCAAACTTGAAAAAGCCTGTCACATGGTTAGATATTCCCTCAAATGTTCTTTTTTCTTTTATTTCCTGCCCAGGAGGTAGAAACTGCTAAAATACTGTACATAGCAGATGCCACACAGCATGTTAAAACAGAACTGAAATGTGTGTTGCAATAATGGTAAGTGGTAATATTCTGTCTTGTGCAAGGATATTGCATGAAAA